AGACTGCTACTGCTGCTACTAAATACTGCTACTACTACTATTAATACTGCTACTAAACTAGATATTCAAATGAATGATGCTAGTACCGGCATTATTACTGACGCTAATATTAGTCAAATGTGATGCTGATTCAAGTCAGCGCTGGACTCATGTGCCCTCGATCCCCACTAGGATGGTGAGCCGTGATTTATGCTATTGCGCGTAGAGTATATATTTGAAGCCCGGAGCACAACAGAGTTGCACTGCTTTCCGTCCTCCCATGTTCCTCTAAGTTTGGACCGTAATTTTTACCTATAAAGGCTAGGCAACGCCATTTATTCAACTATGTAGAGTAAAAAAAACAGTTTGATATATCGTCAAAACCGCTAGTTTAGAGCAGTCTTAAGTTGATGTGGCAGACTTCTTGAGTGCACTAACCTAGAAGCGAAAAACAGAAGAGAACAAAAGTGATTTCAGACGACGCAGACAAGATTACTAACATCCAGTGACTGATGGCAATTAGCAGTTGTGTTAAAATTTGGACACCTTTGCGATTGCCAATACAAGCGAACATGCGAGCCCCAGGAAGCAGTTGAGAAGAAGACGACTCGATCTCTGGGACAATACGTTTATTCGCCTGATGTTTCGACATCTATCGCGGATTCATCATCAGAGACATGAGCTGGAAACCGTAGTAGAATCGGGTTATGCATGCACAGGAGTTTGCAGTATTTATAGGATGCAGTCATTACTCGGAGGCTATCAGCCGCCTTCTCGCGCCACTTGGAGTTGGAGTTGCACACAGGCCGGAGGCAACCATAAGGAGTCAGAAAATGAAAGGCCCACTGTCACGGCAAGAAACATCTGAAGTCGTCTACAGGATCTGGTGCAGTTGCGGACAAAGCAACTATGTCGGAGAATAGGAAGACGTTTCAAGACGTAAATTGCCGAACACGCGGCAGCAGTCTGGCAAAATGATGCCAATTCTCAAGATGCAGCTCATTTTAAGAGACCTGGCCACACGTTAAAATTTGAAGAGATCAAAATTCTCGCAAGAGGTGACAATCGGGTGGGCCAAGAATTACTTGAATCATGGTTCAAGGGCTCCCAATCCATAAACAAGGCCAACGATTTGCACAGGACATATTCGATGCTGAGACTCAATTTTGCCAAAGCAAGTCGCCACTTGGGGAACGGACAAGCCACCACCTAATCTTACGCCAACACCGGAGGGCCAGATGGCTGAGCCATCATCACGCCCGAGTTCACCACGCGTGATGAAAGTTCAGCCAGTCAGAGTCCGCATGCCGTCCAACAAACTATCAACGCGCAAGGAAGCAATTACCGTTAATTTTCGTTGTATGTTTGTAATGTTGACTGTATCCTATAAATACTGCAAAAGCCTGTGGATCTGCTACCCGTATCTGTTACTGCGTTCTGCTTAGGCCTCTGATGATGAATCCACGACGCTTATCAAAACGTCAGCCGAATAAAAGTATTTTCCCAGCCACCCAGTTGTCTTCTTCTCAGTGGATGTATGACATACAAACAAAGCCTCTGTAAATTTAGCAAGTGAACTCCCACGACAGTAAGCAAACTTGTTTCCTCGTTTTTTATCGGAATTAGGTTGAAAAAAGTGAAAACTGACACAAACACACGCACACAACAAGTTGTGAGAATAGATGTAGATGCAAAATCACGTAGACCAACAAACATACTCCCAGTATTCGCTGACTGGATCCGCCATGTAGAGGGAGCTGTTCGTGTCTGCGAAGCCATTGGTGAAGTCATGACAATTCTCTGTGTTCCACCAGTTGTCACAGGTAGTCCAGGGAAGACTACTTGTCACGGAGGCAAACAGATAGAAGATGATCCAGGCGAGGATGACATTGTAATAACAGTTCAGACAGAAGAGGACAAAAACTCCGGCATAACCCACACCTTTGGAGACAAAAATAATAATAGGTGTCTGGAACCCCTTTTGGACATTGGATACTTTTAGACGCATGGATCAGACTGCGTACAATTTGAGCTCCTCATAGCTTGCTCCAGTGTTTGCTGTTAATAAAACTCACCTGATAACAGTATTCTATAGGGATCACCACGGAAATTGAGCCATCAAAATGCCGTGATACATGACTGGTGGCAGTGATAATTTATTTTTATTTAAATGCATTATTTTATTAATTTATTATCTGTTATTTTAATTTATTTTTTAATTATTGCTTGTTTTGTTGTTGTAATGTATTAGCTTTTAATATTAACTTTATCTACTATTTTATGTTTTTTCTATTTTTCTTTTATTTTCCCGCCTGGGTCCCCGTATTTTCCCACTCATGTAACCCTTATTACTACTGGTGCCGCATCCCAGAATTATAGGGGCTTGGGTTCCGTGGTGGTCGCACCTTTGCCAAGCCATATTAGCTCAACAAAATGGCCTTAACTAGCGACATCTTAGTTACCACGCGAGATATGTACTTAGGATACCGACTAGGAGAGTTCATTTACAAATCTACCCAGCTTTGCGGGCCAAAGGCGAATAATTTTTCCAGTTCAAAACTATAATGTCCGATGAGCACATCTGTTTTATTTGTTTTTCCCTTACAATGAGCAATGACGTTCAAAGATTCCTAAAGTGTGGTTCGAGGCAATAATAAAAATCTCTTGTATGCTGCGTGGCATGTTTCACCCCTGGCAAATGTAGTCGGGATGCTTCTTTAAATTTTCTAAGTTTATTTAACCTTGTAGAAAAACCAATTATTTAAATTCAAATAAACAGCAAGTTCGGAAATCTTTGGGCAAAATAGTAAACAAGATTTGAGTCAGAAATGTAAGAGACTGTTGAGGAGCCAAGAAAGTAGTATTTGTAAGTATTCAAAGCAAATACTCTTCAACATGTATTGTTGTTATGACCGCGAAGTTGGTGGAAGTCTGCTTGCTTTCGAGGCGTCAGGCCAGAAAATTTTTCGTTTCCGATATTCATGTTTTTTCATATTTCCATCCACACAGGAAAAATACAGTTTTAAGTGTTCTTTTCAATAAAACTATTTTTTGGCTGTGTTCATAATCATTCCACTTATTTGGTCATTTTTCGTTTTATTAGACCAGTGACGGTAAACAATATAAACCAGTTTGAAAAGGAGTACATTTCGCTTAATAATACTGTTCTGTTGCACACGGCCCTGTAGATTGGAGTATTTCCCATTTATATGAACAAATTATACAAAACTAAGGTGGCCCTAATGGGATCTGGAACGCTGACAGCAAGGGAGGGCATTGGCACAAAAAATGCTCGAGTCAGCTGAGCTACATGGCCCAACCGCGAGCCGTGAATTTGATCCCACTTGGGTCAAGTTACCTGCCTAGCCCACTGTAACATATGGACTCCGCCAAGCTTGCCTCAGGTCTGTACAGTGGTCGGCGAAAACCACGCAACGTGCCGACATATGCGACAGACTGATACTCTTTCGTTAATTGGCATTGACGCAGGTTGTGTTACTGATTATCATGTAGTCTATTCTGAAGTCATTTCAGTCATGATAGGATACGGGCTTTTTAACGGACTTCGTCCTGACCACTAGCAAAACCTATCTATTTTAAAAACTGGCTGCTTAAGTAGTATGCCTTTTTATCCTTTATTTTGACTGCCTTTATAACTTCAAAAATATTTTATGGAAAAAATGCATGAAAAAATTATTTCTTGTACTTATTTGATAGCAAATTACGCCTCCTTTAAATTTTAAACTAAAAAAGGATATCTTTCGGTTTTAAAAAAAATTTGCTAATTATCAGCTTTTTTAACATTGTGAGGTAGTTATTCATAAAAAAAAATCGTATCCGTAAATTTACTAATGCTGCCTATACTGCATAAAACCTGTTCTATATCTAATGCAATAATTTATGACAACTATGTGACTTTTTCCTCAAACTGTAGGCAAAAACGTACTTTTCCTTAAACAGGATGTACACAGTGCGCAGTTTTTAAACCTTGAATTCGAGTGTAGCA